GTAAGCTGCCCGAAGAAGTCTGTCTTGGAAGAAATGTATACTGCTTAGAATAAGTGCGTGTTATCACACCAAAGGGATTGTAGAGAAGTTTCTGGTTAAACTAGAAACTTCCTTGGAGAGCAAGAAACCTTTAGGAAAGAAGGGACTGGCAGGTTCTGTGAGAAGAAGTGTAAATCCTGTAGGGAGTCAGAACATAACTCCTGCATTGACACTTCATCAGGTCTGAACTCTTAAAGGAGGAAGAAAAAAGAAAACTGATGCCCCCATGGACAGAGTTATACACATCCATGTGTTACTCCTGCCCGGAGCGAAGAGACAGTGCTGTGGTGGGGCAGAGATTTATTATCCCGAATCCTAGTCTTTGCATCAAGTACTCATACAACACTGTAATATTTCTACTGAACCAACGTGACAAACGTAGGAAAAGACCAGACTCTGCAACTAGAGGGCTTGAGAATGTCATGCCATGGGCAATAACTGTGGGTGGCGTTCTCAAGTCTGTCTGTAAGGATAACAGCTCCTGCAGAGTGTAACCCACAGGGATCAGAAATGCAAGCAAGTGTTCGTGTTTTTCTCCGTTCTGTCCTACAAGCCATATGCAGACTGAATGATCCACATGAGAGCAACGTGAGTCCACCTATTCATTTATAACTCCTAAATATTCAAAATCCTGGCAAACAGGTATCTACAATGATGATGAACATCATGCAAACCCTTAGGTTAGGAAAAAAATGGAGCTCTGAGAAATGCTTAAGGCACACCCTAAGGTTTTAGGGGTTCCCTTCTGTTGTCTGAATGAGTAAGGGCTCTGGACAGTGGATTCTTTACCTTGGCATATCCGTGGGTCACTTGGACCAAATCCCAGCAACTGCCTGATTTTGTAAATAGTTCTGTTGAAACACAAACACAGTCCTACCAACTCATTTACGTAGGCTGCGTGGCTGCCTCTGTGCTACAGGGGGACGTGAGTTATTGTAGCATGGCCTTCATAACTCACAGCGCTGAAAAGTTGACCCTTTCAGGAAAAGTTCGCCATCATTTTCTGAATTTGCTATTTAATATTCTAATCAAAATACTTAGTCATCGTCATGATTTTTAGCTTTTATACTGTGCAACGCTACGTTTACATTCCAGGATCAGAGGATTTATACCCTGTGTTCAGAATCACTGGAATTGCACAGTCTGGCTTTTGTAGCTCGTGCCTAAATAAATGTGTCATTCTTCCGAGAGCATTGGAAGCACGGCAGGAGGCCACGTCAAGGGATTTTTCTTTATACTCCCAACACGCTCTACCTTCAGCTCACTGCCGAGGAAGGAGGGAAGCAGCCAAAAGGAATCACAGCTGCCTTGTTCTTCCCCTTTACTTCTGTGTCATCTTTCTGCAGCATGAGCGGTCCTGCCGTAAGTAACACAAGAAGGACACAAGATAGGACAGGGTTCTGTGACATCTGGGTTTCTTAGAAGCAACTAGTAGTTCCAGGAGAAAGCACGGCCACACTGGTGGCCATTCGTGGCCACTGTGAGTCCATCTGTCTTCCGTGCTCCTAGGGCACCGTGACTGGGGCATCTAGGGAAGCAGCCAGCAACTGTCAGGAATGCAGGCGCTACACAGCTCCTCTGAGCATGAAGATGTTTCATCTCCCGCTGAATTGCACTTTCAAAACCAAGTCCAAAGTTTCAGTTTTCAGCATTTCAAGACAGAGGCAGCCACACCGGGAACCAAGTATGTGAGCCATCTGACAAGAGGGCCCCTGTGCAATTGCTCACACCACACACCCATGAGTAAAGAAATGGGCCAAGTGGATTCATGCCACTCACTTCCTCTTTTCAACCAAATTATTTGTTTTCCTCATCAGAGGACACCACTCTCCTGAATGGAGAGCTCATTTCTATTAGTAGAGATATATTCTGAAGCTTTGCCTGATTTTGAACATTAAGCAAGAGACCCACATTGTACATTTCCTTCTCTGCTTCTTTCCTTGAACATTATGTTTTCAGACATGACCCCAGGTACGACACAGTTAGTATTCTTCGCCGCTATACCCCACTTCTTTGTATTAATATGACACGGATTATCTATCCCTTCTGCTTTTGATAAGCAAGTATATGTTCTGGGACTTTGCTCTTCAAAAAGAAGCTGCTACACACATTCCCCCAGGGGCCTCAGGGTCTCACTGATTCTGAGTATCTATGACATATGCCTTCAAGGAGAAGTCTTGGTCCACGAGTTACTCACTGAAGGCATGACCACAATTCATAATCCAGCCAGATGTGGGTAACAATTTACATGAATTTACAGCCTTAACTTCACTCAGTATATTTCAAATACAGTGTTTTGGCCAACTTTATGGCTAAGGCATGAAGTCTCATTGCTACTTAAATTTATGTTTCTATTTTATGAATGAACTTAAAAAACCTTTCATATGTTTGAGTTGTAAATGATTATCTCTGAACTACTTATTTATGATTTTGCCCATTTTTAAACCGAGGGGTGTTTGTGTAGGTGTGCGTGCGTATTGTTAAAATTTTTTATTTGCTGGTAAAATATATTGAAAATATATTCTCCATATTGGATGCTTTATTTGTCACTCTTATTTTAACACTGGATAGACAGAATTTTTAATTTCAGTGCAACTGAATTTAATCAAACTTTTTATATTTTAGTTGCTTTTTTTTAATACAGTTGACATATAATATTGGTTTCAGGTATACAACACAGCAATTTGAAAATTATATACATTACTAAATGCTCAGCATGGTAAGTGGAGCTACCATCTGTCAATGTACATTTTCGTTTTGGTTTTTCATGCATTTCACAAACCTGCATATAGCCGCTCTCAAATAATGTCTCCTCAAGGTTTATGCATTTTGATATTTGGCCCTAAGTTCTTAACAAACCTGTAATTATTTTTCATTGGTTCCTTTTTTTTCCACAAGATTACAAGCATAATTTGTGCATATGTTTGCACAGGCCTAATTAACTGGAAATGTACAAATGAGAGGAGAAAGATAAGCTGGTCCCGTATATCTAGATGGGTTTACTCGTTTCCATTGAACTATTTAGCTGCTCACTGTCAACACATGTTCTTCCAATTAACACAGGTTTATTAACGAAGCATCGCATAGAACACATTGCCCACTTTAGTCTTTTCAATAAAGGAAGGGCTCTTGGCTTATCTCAGGCCATTGTTTTTCTACATAAATTCTAAATCAGCTTATCAATTTCTGTGAAATGTCCTTTAGACATTTTTATTTGAATTTTATTCAATCAGTGGCTTAATCAGGAGAGAATCACTACCTTTATTTATTGTTATGCAAGGAAATCATGTTTAGTTATTGCCACTATAAATCACATGCTTCTCCATATTTTCTACAGGATTACTCCTGTTTCAGGGAAGGCAACTGACCTTCCTGCGTGAATACTGTGTCTCGCAGCACAATTAAACCTTCACAGTCGTCTGACCAACTCCCTGCAGATTCATGCCGATTTTCTGGGCTCTCACATCATTGATATATAATGTCAATTTTCTTGCAATTCATAAAACCATTTCTTTCCTTTTCTAGGCAGCACATGACAGAACACAGTTGGTGACAGCAGACTTCAGGAGATGTTTCCCATCTTAAATATTGTAAGTACATTACCTTACATTATTTATTGTAAGTAAATTAAATATTGTAAGGATTTCCTGCTGTCCCCTCCCTTGGTAAGGAAGCTCCTTTGAATTCCAATTTCCTATTCATGAACATTTGCAGAATTTCATTGATATATATATTGCCATTTACTGATAAATGTTCCTCTGAATTGATGCTTTCATCTACAAATGTAGGTGAATTATATTTTTTAAATATTCCAGCATGAGGGGGATCGTGTGTTCTGAATCTATGCATACATTCTATAATAAAACCCATTTGGAAGCCAAACATTTAACACTGCAGGATGGACAGACCAACAGATGGATGGATGTTTAGACCAATAAATGGATGGACAGAGCAACAGATGGACAGATAGAAAGGAGTGGCATATTTTTCAGTGATTACGGCAGTTTTAGGCACAGAATACAGACCCCAGAAAATATTTCTGCCCTGAGTTCAACAGAAGGCATTTCTGTGTGTGACAGCCATTTGAGGGCACTAGACTCTGGGTCTTACCAGTTGAGGAGACCCCATAATTGTATGTTACTAATTGTACCCCAGAGAGTTAATACTGTATCTTATTTTCATCTGCCAGAGATATACAAAGGTTAAGAAATTGCTCTAACAGCTTGACATGGAGAAAAAAATGGGCATTTACAAACTCAAGAAAACATTTCTTTCTTTGCCTCTCAAGGACACCCCATTTTCCTGTAGATGAGTATGGCTTTTTTTTTCCCTCATGCTGGAGCTCCTGTTAATTCGCATTAATTCCTATGACTCACTGCTCACTTAGGGGAAACCATGCCATTTAATGAAAGAAACAAAAATGCTACTGATGAGAAAGGCTCTGGAGGCACTAGGATGTAGGGAAAAAGGATTTTAAAGATCTCGCTGTAAATTACAGAATTAGCGGACAACGCATACTTGCCCATTCATGTAAGAGCGCCGAAGCACAGATGAATGTGGTATGTTGAAAGTAATTGGGGAGGAAGTGAGTCAAATTTTACATTAAGCTTTTGTTTATGTAAGGATCCTCATATACATATATAAATACAAATATTAGCTTTATGTTTATAGGCCTATGTAAATTTTCCTCATGTAATTTGGTGATTGAGGTTCATTTTGTAGTCATAACAGCAATTTGTTTCCTTATGTCAAATGTTTAAATGGTTTAAAACGTGTTGTCATTTTCAATCCCCCTGTGATTTTTAACAGTAAAAACAAATGGAAAACCTTAAGATTATGAAATAATTAGCCCATTGGGAAACCATAGGATACATTCTGCAGACCTTAATTAGTGTCACTTCTGAGATTTGTAAACTTAGCAAACGTAAATCCAGTGGGTCTCAGTTTTCCCAATTACTCAATTGATTAAAAACAACACTGCATGGTCAGTAATTTTAAGATTAAAACAAAAGTATAAACGTTCTTTGCAAGCTGATATGAACGATGAATTTCACTTTGGATATATACAAAGTCCTTTAATATTTAAGCAACATGAACGTCAGATCATGAATAAAAATTGATGTATTTCCAATAGTAGTAAAAATCTATGGGACTCCCAAAATACAGAATTGAATACTTAGCTACTGTCCTGAAGGTAGAAGGTAACACATGGCTTTCCAGTGTAAGGACAGAGTCACCGGACTCTCAAAGTCACCTTGTCTGTGTGATGGGCTCTGAATTAGCAAGGAGGGCAGGCTGTGATGGGCAGGGAGCCCTAGCATCATCGATGCCTCACATTTGAGCACCTCATATTGACGTATTAAAATGTTGGCAGTGAACTGTCTTTCCCTGAACGGAATTTATAATTTTTCAATGTCTAATCAGGACGGCAAAGCCATTTCCAGGAGACGCTTTCAGGATGAAAAGGAGTAACGGAGTCCCATTTGGGTAAATGAAATTAAAAGGGACGACAAATAATTGTCACGCTTCAACCAATCCACTTACATTTTCTGGACATCATACGAACACCAAAAAAAAACCCTATAAATTCTGGAAGGTTCATGCAGAAATACGAATGATGACACGACAGAGAATACCATCAGGGCAGCGCACGGAGCATGGAAAACACTTCAAACTATTAAATGATGCTGAGAATCACTTGAGACTGAGATTGGGATTGAAATGTACTAAACAAATTAACGCTGCAAGTTTAGTGGGGAGAATTATAGAAAGCCCACTTATTTTTCCCTGAAGGGGAAGACAAAACACTGCAGCCTAGTTCTGAGAAAAATCTACCAACACTATCTGCACTTACGTCCCTTAAATACACACTAGCATAGCAGAGAATAGAGGGGACTATACAGACTTCAGAAGAAGGGATGAACGAATCTTAACAACGTTAACATGTGAGGGTGGACGGCGCTCTTTTTCCATCATTGGATTGTCCGACAAAACTCCTGGAGTAGGGCCCCCTTCCGCCTGTACTTCATGGACGGGAAAAGGCCAACACTTCCCATCTCTGCCTTGCATGGGGTCAGCTTTCTGCTTTCTGCATGCTGAGTAGGGGAAGAAGATGGCCTTGCAAACAAAAGGCTCGCAGAATTAACAGGAACCCTTAGGCAACATTATTAGGAAAGTGCCAAAAACAATTGTTTTGGGTGTAAATGCAAATTGACATTCCATGCTGTTAATAAAAGCAATCCCAACCAGGCCTGCGCACAGCAATTATCCAGGAACTGCTTCCCCAGGGGTCTGGCAGGACAGTCCTACTGTTTCTCCTCTTTGCTGTTACAGTTGCTGGGGTGGATACCGGGTTCCTGGACACAAGGTGGACAGCACCTTCACAAGGCAGCAGGCAGGCACATTCACCTGCAGAATCGGCTGCCCTGTGAAGGCCCACGGGGAGGCCACTTTGCTCCCAGGCTTTCTGAGTACTGCAAAGCTCAGAGGTATGTAGACAGCCATGATGAGGAACAGAACCTTTGAAGAAATGGTGGTGGGGGGGCAGGTGGGGGTAGAAGTTCTTTGCTAGTGGATGACAGAAAGGCATGATGTAGAGCCTCAAAAACAGTCGAAATGATGCAACCTTTGAGTCAACGTTATTTACCCAAAAGTGACAAGAAAAAAAATGTGATGGTATAAACAGATGTGAGTCTATCTATGGTCTTTGTATGTGTATGTATGTATACATGGAGAGAGAAAGGTATATATCTAGCATCTATCCTAAGTATCATCCATCTTTCATATCTATCCATGACATATTTTGTTATCCATTTCCCCCAGCATGTGTCCATGACTCTCATCTATCTTTCCATCCATACACCATCTATCTATATGGCTATCTACCTGTCATCTTGTCTACATACTGTCTGTCTGTCTATACTTACACAGATATCTGAGTAGACCTAAATTTCCAGATTTGGGGATTTCCAGGTGAAAGGGAAGAAGAGAATATTCTAGAAACACCCACTCCAATACTTCCAAGTAATAAGAAGGAGTCCCAGGGAAGTCAGACTGAAACCAAAGTCAAAAAAGCAAGTAGGTTTATTACACTGTAACGAAGCGGCCCCAAACTAATGCCCCCAGGCCCCGGCTGCCTACTGTGGAGTTTCTTTTTGGCAGGGCAGAGACGTCCTTGACCAACAGCGGTTCCCTAGGCTCGTTCTGATTGGTTAAATAGGATATGGGCTGCGCTGTGCCTGTGCTTCTGATGTTTGCTATCTGGGGGGGACCCTGGACATTTCCTGAGTCCCTCTTGGCCCCTGTGACTTCATCTGATCAGCTGTCTGAGTCATTTCTGGCTCTAGCTTTATCTGATCAACCCCCTGGGTCAGTTTTGGGGGACCCCAGTCTCTGTCCATCTCTGCTCATGTCTGTTTTTCTGCCTAACCAACTACACCTCTTTAAAGGTAATGTGGGGACGTGGCTGTGTGACTTGGGGGAAGATATTTTACTGTATTTCTTTTGTAAAGACAAAAATGTGGGCGGGGTGTGTATTTTGGACAGCCATTGCACAGTGCCTGCCAAGCCTACTAATTTAGCTTATATAATTTTATTTGCACTGTCCTATCCAAGTATTAACATTTCTTTTTTTTTTTTACCATTTCATTTTCAAATGGTGATGATACAGAAGTGCAACCCAATGCTTTATGGAAGGTTCTTTAACACCGTCTTATGCTGAATTTATACAGGAAACAGAGTTGACTTTTTAAAATCCTTATTCCTTGAATGTCTGATGTGCAAATACTGTATCAAAATACTTCAAAGCCGACTCGAGAAACGGACAGTGTTCGATTTCACACCAGCCTCGTGATCCTAGAACACAGCAGGGATTCAGAAATTCCGCACATTTTTGTGTTCTGGGAAAAGGGTCAATGCACAGAAACATCTCCTAGGACTAAGGTAAGACTCAGGAATCCCCTCCTCTCCCTACGACAAGGCCAGATGCACACCCTCCAAGTTCCCATCCAGTGCCTCATAAACAATTAACTGAGTGTGTGTTCCTTGCTCCTCTATGGAAACAAAATGCTGGTGAAACTTCAGTTAAGACACCCTCCTTCCCACAGCCGTGACCTCCAGCCGGCCTCAGTGTGAGCCCAAATCTCACCCCTCTCTGGGGCCTCCTTCCCCCCAGGAACACACTGATGTCAGGGTGAGACACATTCTTCTCTCCTTGCTACATCAGCCACGCTTCCCACCCTGTGAAGTTCCTTCTACCCTCACAACCCCCCTCTCCCCCATAAAACAGCCCACCTTCTTCCCCAGGAAGGCGCTCTGAGCTGCTGGACATAGTTTTGTCCATGTCAAGTCTCTGTCCATCCCTTGCATTCCTACAGCATTTGGGGATGAAGGACTTCCAGGATTCCCGGTACTAATATTTTAACTGCTTTATCACTTGCGTCTGATAATCAACCCCTCTGTCCTTTGTTGTTCCAGGGGCCTGACCCACCCTTCTGCCTGAAGCAACTCCATCAACAACAGGAGACAAAACATACGAAGCCCTGCATCTCAGGACATTAGACACTGCACAACAAATCCCCTCTAAGAAGGGAAACAGAGGGTTGTACCCTGGGAGCACCTCAGAACAGTCAAGTACGACTGATAACCAGACAAGTCAATGAGATGGACACCCTCTCTGCACAGGGAATAATAGAGATGAATGTAACATTACCATAGAAAGACACATAATGCTCAGGAAAAGTAAAATATCAGGTCTGTTCAAGTAAAAATCCATAGATGGAAATAATTTTCAACGGTTCTGTAGAGCAAGAAAATAGGGGTGGGAGAGAAGAAAAGGAGATTAGCAGGGCAGGATTCGTTTTTGTGACGAAACAACTGTGGGACACCAGTAACCTTCACTATCGGAAAGAAAGCAAAGGAACTTCCCAAAGTCCAGATACAAGACGATCTAGTTTTACCAAAAAAGAAAAAAAAAAAAAAAAAGAAAGCTTGGTCTCAATCAACATGAAATGCTGAACATATCATATTGAAACATGTGTTTATATAATTGTTATTCATATATAACTTACAAATTCTATATATGATCTCAATCAACATTAAGCAGTAAATATCTCAGCAATATATAGGTATTTGTGTATATATACACATGACAACATGTATATATAAACTACTTATTACATATGAAAGTGTATAATGATAACTGTATAAATGCTTATATATTTGTATTTTTGTATTTTATATATATTTAACAACAAAAAAACATAAATCATTTATATATGGTCATATATATTGCATATTCATATATATATAAACAGCTTGGTAATATGCCTCGTGGCCACCATACCTTTAAAAGTCATCTAATCAAAACACAAACAGAAGCCAATAGGAAAAATACTTTGTGAAAAATATTCTAGCAAACCAAGAGAATGAGCAAAATAAGTCACTTGTAACTGAAGAAACTATGTACATGAAAATAAACAACTTTTAAACCTCACTTATAAAACTGAATGTACTTATAGTGCACCTTTATATAATTTGGGGGTGTGATTAGAGATTTTGAAGTTGCTATGTTTTTTTTTTCAACAGGTGTTCCACAGATTCTATGCAATAGTGAAAAAAATAACCGATAGTATTTTAGCATCGAGTAATCTCTAGTAAGGTGTTGTTTAGACATTACCGTGCATTAAAATTGAATGAGGTGCAATCCCATAGCCTCATCCACAGAACACCAGGTCTGCTGAAATGCAAAGAGCATTTTTCAACTGTGCTTGTAACGGGAGGGGTCATTCGCCTCCTTTTGAAACTTACTGGGCCAGATGAATGAAAATCTTATCATCAATACTCGAATTACAAAAAGAGAAATATTGCATTCACTCCCACCATCACTCAAACATCGAATAAATCTGGCAAATAAAATCATGAAATAAAGTAGTTCCAGCACCTGGAGAGAATCATGGTAACAAGGTAAGATTTCACATAACCCAAGGCTATTAAAATTCTATACTGTATCAACAAATCAAGTTGCAACTCAGAGGCTGAAGAGACACATGTAATTCCAGTCAGAAGTGTATCAAAGAAAGGGTAAAGCCTTTAGGAAACTACATGTACACAAAATCAGAACCACCCAGCAATACTGGTAGCTGGCAAATTTGGATCTCAGGAGAACATTAGACATGCGTCTATTTGGATTAAATAATAAAATACCGAACTATAGACCAGCAAGCCTTCTAAGGAACCCATTAGGGCTTCCTCGTTTCCTTAATGTGGTAACAGGTCCCTGGCTCAGAACACAAAGTCAATCTCTTCCAGTGGCAGCATAATTTGTTGAGCTATTTATTTCTGCTTCCACGTTGCGCCAGTAGGTTTCCTGTCTTGTTTTCAAGATTCTAGAATCTTTACGCTGCGGTCAAGGTTTTTGAATTCCCAAAGGCTAAACTCATTGGCACAATTATGCTTAGTGAATGGCACGGGGAGAGTGGGCAATTTCCTCTAGAAAAAAATGGGATTAAGAAGATTTTGGAGGTCTGGTTTCAAGAGATGGTAGCCAACCCAGATAGTCCTATCCTATACATGGAGGCTTAGACTTGGAGGAAGTAGCAGATGACGCTGGGCCCTGGTATTCTAGGACTTAGCAAAGATTCCTTTGCATGCCTGACACACTCAAAAAATCCAGAGAAATCGGGGGTGCTTATATAATTAAGCATCAAGGAGTTGATGGCATGGCTACCATCCTGGAAAAGATCCCGAAGCATGCCAACGTCATAATAACTGAAACGGTTTACTTGGGAACGTAGGATGGGGAGATGAGGGAAAAGGAATTTTCTTTCTTCAGGATTTCTGAATCTGATCACACATTTCTAAGAGGATTGTCATGAGCCTATGCTACCACTACAACAAGAAGTTTCAAAAAAATGTTTAAAGGCTTTAACTCAGCACATTGTCTATGTTACTGTGCACAGATCAGCCTATGATTTGCACAGAGTCCATGATGAAATTGTTGGAAATAAAATTTACTTTGGAAAGTCCTTAGGAAATTAGCCAGTCGTGACTCTCCCTCTGAAGTTGGCTTTTTTGAACCAAAGCAACAATCCTGTGAGTATTGCATCCTGAACATGATAAATGTTGTTGCTGAAAGGAGGCCAAGGATGTGAACAGATCGTAAGTAAGAAGACAGTTAAGCAGGTACTGGCCTCCACTGAGGTGCAAAGGCTAAATTCCCTACATGCCTCACGCTGAACTGCCCGAGAGGGCACAAGCTCTACAATTTTATTACATGTCCTCACGGCAACTAGGCTCTCAGACACAAACCCTGATTCAGAACATTACCTCGGAGATAAGTAAGTCCGAGGAACACAAGCAACCACGTGGCCACTCTGGTGAATAACACCGTGTTGCGTATTTGGAACTTGCTAAGAGTACATTTGAAAGTCCACATCACCAGGAACTTAAAAAAAAAAAAAAGCATTGTAACTACGAATGATGCACGTTAACTAGACTTATCGGGGTGGTCGCTTGGCAGTATATACAAATACTGAGCCACTTTGTGGTGCACCCAAAAGTGGTATCATGTTTTATGTCAGTTTATACCCAAAAAGAGAAACAATAAAAGATGATTTGGGCTTCTCACCAGGGTGGTTTTGAGGGCCTCAGCCAAGGTTTACACGGAGGAAACAGGAGGCAGGGGTCAGCTTTTGTGGACCGTGTACACCGTGCCACAAATCTTCATGCACAGGAATTAATTTAATCCTCACAACCATAGACGTGAACTCATGTCATTATCTCCTTTTTCATGTGAGATTGTGGAGCCTGGAAAATCTTATGCCAAGTTGCTTAGGTCTTATAAATTACAGGGTTAAACCTGTATGTTAGGATTGATTCTAACTATCCTGATCCTGGGAATCTATGGCTAGATTATCTTAAGTGACAAAAATTGGCACAAATCTCCAAACACTTTTCCAATAGATTATTTATGTCTTTTATTGAAAAAACAGTCATGAAAGTTTTTTTTCTTGAAGAAAACAACATACAAACCCATGTGGTTCAAGGGCCAATTATATAATCACTAGGTAAAGTCACATTCCTGCACAAGGTGGGTGCTCCGCAAAGTATTCCTTGTTATTATTATTTTTTTAATATTGCAAAAGAAATAAGAAATATTTTACTGGCAGGTTGGGCAAGTTCTTTGCTATTGGTACCGTGCAATGTTTTATAACAGTAAAGAGCACAGAACGACACCCATATGTAGCTGTGTGGATGGGTGAAAAATGCAAATGGCAAAGTGATGCCCAGCAGAATTTTATCATCACAAGGGCACATGTGTTTAGTCAGTATATAAAAATGCACACAGATGAATATATAGCAACACCTAGTAAGTGGTGACCTCTGAGAAGGTTGAAAAACATGTCTTTAGGCAAGTTAGTAGTTGTACATTTTGTGTCTTAAAAATATACTTTGAAAATTTATAATGAAGGATCTCATTATCTAGTTGCTGGTCAGAGGGGCATTTTTATATTGTTGTTCGTATTTTACATGGCCGAGATCTTTTCCACGTTAATTTAAAAATGTAAATGAATAAAAGGGAAGACATAGGCAGAGGGCAAGCGTGTATGGTGACGGAAGACGTGTGCAGTGAGGAGAGCCACGTAGTGTAGCTTTGGTTCATTTAGGAAGAAGTGATGTCGAAAGACGTGTTTGACAAAATGGAAGAGGGAGTGAAAACAGACAGACCTGAGTTGTAGGGGGAGGCTCAACGCACATCATGGCGACATCAGCAAACACAAGAAGGTGGCTCCAAACATGGCCATAGATGGCTGTAAAATACTCAACAGTGATTGCTGACAAGCTGCATGGCTGATGGCATTTCCCATAATCCCAGCGACCTCTGAACTATGTATGTGACTGTGTAACTCGATTAATGACATGTTATCTTTTTTTTTTTTTTTTACAATGTAACAGTCTGATTCTTTTTCAGTTACAGATTTTCTGTGCGAGTTTATGGGAAAATCTAGAAGAAGTTCATTGGAGAAAAGTTTACTCAGGTTTTTTAAGCAATAGTATATAGAAGACATAAAAAAACATTAAATTGTTACTGAGGGCAGAAGAAAATAATGTAGTAAGGGAGAGAAGGAATCCCCTTTTGGCATGCTATACAATGATATTTACTGTTTGTTTTTAAACAACATATAAAATTTTCAATGTCTCTTATAATAAAATCATTTCAAAATTACATAGCTGACTGACTGACTTCCTCTGGTTTTTGTATCTTATGAGACACATATAATAAAGTCATCAGCCCGTAACAAAATCTCAGATGGGATTAGCTTCCAGGAAGTTGATGAAAATATTCTCTCTTACTAATTAAGCTGACCGATTCATTCTCCTTAGAAACAATTTGTAGAGGCAATCTGTTCCAACAGACAACAAAATCAATTTTGTTGCTATTTTTAAATGCACGTGCTTTAGCCCGAGGATTATTGTAAACTATAAACTTTCTATGAGATGGGCGAGTCCTCTTTGCTATGAAAAAAATCTTGATGTTAATAAGAGAAAATAGGATGGTGATTATCAAGGTCTAATGATTGTTCTAAGGTCTGTATAATTATTACCCTGTTTAATCATCAAAATAAGCCTCGTGTGATGGGTGTATTAAATAAAAAGTGGGTGCTTTTCTTTACAAATGGAAAGTAACTCAATGTAAAGTCATTTATTCTTAAACCCTGGTTTTTACTGTCACTTTCCGCTCTTGTCCCAGAAGTCACTATCTGTTTAATAATGAATACTGTTTTTTAAACATGCCAAGTCTAGATTTTCTCAGCTGTGAAATGGGAAAACAGAGATATCTAACATACAGGGTTAATAGGAGAAACAGACAAGAATGGTTCGAGAAAGCTCCTACCAATGCCCAGAATTCTGTTAGAAGCCACGGGATATTACCTGTTGGTATTTTTATCATTAATAATTTGTGGCTTAGTGAAATTTCAATAGACGTATTTTCCACTTCTCACTTTGTATAGGGTGAACACAGTATTTTTGCCATTGAGAGTCAGAGTCACTGGCGAATTGTTTCTCTATCTCCAGTCAACCAAGTGCAGTGGATGGTGCAGCAGAATGGTTGGGGAAGACGCTGCAAAGGACCTATTTCCCTATCACTCCCCACACTCAGGTATTATTCTGCACGCATGTCTTACATCAAATCACAAGTGTCGTGAGGATTAACTGCCATCAAAGCACTTACTAAAAAGCAACACGTGAGGAAGTCCTAACAGCGTCTCGGAAAACCCAGTAAAGCAAAACTGCCAGTATGTAATGCCATGGTCTGTGCCTTGATTACTGAAGATGGTAATAAGCCAGTCTGAGAAGTCTACACTTGTCATAAGAAGATAATTTGACTTCCCCTTAAGGTGCAAGTCACCTTTCGATTTACTTATCAGTTATCTCAATGAAATGAAAACTGAGAAGCAGTATTATATATTG